GCCAGCGGGGAATGGATCGTTTAGCTGGAAAGTTTTCAAATTGAGATGTTTAAAACAGGCATTTAGACTTGACTCTAATTTCACTTTATGATAGTGGTCCACTGTATGTGCAAGTTCTTTAGTCTTCAGAAATGGTCTCGTGGCCATTACAGCAACAACCTACTGGATATTTTTTAGATTGTCTGAAATTTACAAAAAAGTATGGGCCTCAGACCAGAGTCTAAGATGGATATCTCTGGAGGGATCACTAAATAAAATTTGTTGCATGTTAAGATGAAATTATACTTTTAATCTTCCCTGGGATGGAATGCAATGAGTTTGTGGCATTTACCCCAGATTACTGTAGTTTGGAGGAGAAAATTTATAGAAATATGCATTGACTGATACATAACATCACCTCACAGAAATAAGGGGTATTACTGATGATGTTTTTGAATTTAAGTTGATGTGAAAACCTGATTCTTCCCTAAAGACCTGTAGATTTACATGCGGTTGCAAAAAGAGGTTCAAGATTTTCCTGTATTTTGCATGCCTCCTTTGAAATGCTGGTGGGGTAAATTCCTTGTGTGGATCTCAACAACTACAGGATTTGGTGTCCCTGCTCATGCATGCTCATCAGTCTCTTGCTGTGGCACCGTATTTTCTTGTTCAGCATTTCCCTGCTAAGTAATCAAACTGAAAACAGCAGACTGCCAGCAAGTTTGCTTCCCTTGATGACCATAGCTGGTTTTGAATGAGGGGCAGCAGAAGGCGGCTGGTTTAAACCACCACTGACTTGGGCCGTCCGCATGTATTCTTACATTTGCATCTGCTTGCTTTCCCCCTTCTCTTTCAGTTGATACTTTGTCATACTAGAATGAGGATTAAGTGGAAGGTAGGAGTCAGTTTCATAGACACTTGAAAAGTTTCTTTAAGACAAATAGCTAGAAAATGTCTAGGATGTATTCAGTCTAATGTTTTCCATGTTCCTGATGTGTTACTGTTACCTTGCAGAAAGAGGTGTGATTTGTCCAGGCAATCCCCATCTTCTGTGAAACCCAAGTTAGGGTTCCAGAATGAAATACCACATGACTGTAAAGTGTATACAGACAAATGCCTGCAAGTTCATAATAATTTCATCCTCGTGTACATGTATACACAGCCATGGAAAACAGGACATAATCCTGTTCAAATATGTTGATGACTTGAGGCTGAGATTATTTAACGGTGTATAGCATCATTAAAAGGTACATAGTTGGAGAAAAAATCAGCCATGGTTGTCTTTTCTTGATTGATGCTAAGATAAGGTTTCCATAGATAATTATCTCATCTAAATAATGGCTAGTTTTAGTGTCACATTTTATTTTTCCAGCAGATGAGGATTTATTAGGTGATGGAAATTCTATTAACAGGAAATTAGTCCAATTTGGCTTTGCAAAATACAGCATGGGCCAAGTCCAGACTTACAAGCATCATTTGTTAAATCATTCTGTAGCATTGCAGTAGGGGGGGGTAAATTCTGAAGTTTGCAAGCATCCTTCTTTACATTTACGTATTAATTTTGTTCCTCAAACAAATCTTTATAATCACTTGGGGGTAGACTAAAGATAGCTCCAGAATAATCATGCTGAAAGATTTTGTGTGTGCTTTTAGCATTTTAATTTCTTCATAACAAAAGACAGACGTGACTAGGACGTGAATGCCGTGGGGTATCTGTGTGACACTTTCCTTTCTTTTTGTCAGTGATGAAACCAGCATGGAAGTGACCTCTGAGGTTGTAGCTGTCCATTCCAGAAATGTTGCTCAGCTTAGCACAAGCCAGTGTTGGGAACCTGCTTGTTCACACGAGGGTAGCGTGCGTGCACTAAACACCCGTGTAGCTCTGGGATGGTGTTCAGACAAATCGAACTGCTGCAGTAGATTTTCCTGATGAGTGATTGGATATTTGCTTTCATCAGCTCCTGATCAATAGCAACTATACTTAACCCTTCACAATATTGGAACCCTTCAGTGTTTGTGCAAAACGACTGCTATTTGGTTTTATCCACAACCTTTTTACTTAATCCAATAAAATAAAGTTCTGCTGATTTAAAACCAAATTTCTATGGGGGCAGAGCCTTAGTTGCAATCCTGCGAAGCTGAAGTTGCACCGTGCTTTAGCCCAGGCTAAATGCAGCAGGTCTGACTGCTCTCCTTCCTAATGATGCTGTCTGGCAACTGTGGGCTTCAGAAGCATAGGGAAGTCAAGGTCTGTCATCTGTACTGTGGGAACATGATGCCATCTGACAGTATCTGACCCTCCCTCAGGGCTAGATGTCTCAGACTGCTTTATGCTGATGGAAGAGCAGAGCATGACTGGGGCCTGGATGGAGACTGGCATCATTTTATAAATCGGGAATAGTCCTTCAAGTCTTTTTGTAACTGGCATTGCAGTATAGCCTTAATATCATTCTACATAGGTGAATAAATTGACAGGCAGGACTCTTATTTTCCTTAGGTTATTTATAAAAAATTCAGCCAGTCTTATGCTAACTCTGGAAACAGCAGACTCTTGTTTCAGTAGTAGTACTGGTGGATGAAGATTTGCTCCTGAAATCCAAAGATAGTGTTGCTTGTAATTATTTAAAATTGGTAAGGAAGTAAGACACTGTGCTAGCTTATTTCATTTTGTGAGATCTTGAAGCTTAGGTACTGATACTGTTTTACTCATTCCCCTTCAGCTGATGTTTTGGCAGGAGTTGTCCACTGGACTCAAGTTTACCAGAGGGTGGAGGGATCAAAAAAGGGGGTATACGGGAGTGAACTGGCGCCATTTTATACACATGTGTGTATATATGGGGGACTAAGATACATGGAAATCTAGGCTTTATTCATTGTGCTGTTCATAGAACAATTTGGGGGCATTTTCCTTGTTTTGAAGGCACAAAATTTGGCTTGCTAGGCTGGCAACAAAAGCATTCATTTAAAAACTTGCCAGAATGCAAACTATTTGTTTTGGCAGTTTTATCTTGCATGTGAGCAGGCCAACATGCTGCATTCTTTTATGCCAAAAACACATCCATTCTGGGCACCTATTTACTGTGGACGTATGACTGAGGCTATTTACTGTCATCCAGATTTGCATTTTTCCAAAAGGTGCCAAGCTTATTTTTGTATTTATTGTGTAAAATACCAGACAATTAGATTTCCACCTGGCTAAGTAAAACAAATGCAGTAGCTGCCAAGGACTATGACTGATGGCAGTGTGTGCTGTGCCAGTCACCTGCAGCTTTGCAGTGTCAGCAAGTGTACTGCTCTGCCCGTGCAGCTTACTCTTACGGGTAGCAAGCCTGACATGTCCAGGTGAAGAACCCTTTCTGTCCCAAACTAAACAGTAAACCCAAAGCCCATTCATTGCAGAATACTCTATTTTAGATAACTTTATTTTTATGTTGTCAAAGAAAAAAAAATCTGATTCTTTCCTAGCATCTGAAATTTGATAATTCAGGCTGTGATTTTCAAAGAGTAATACCTTTTGTTTGTATTTGCTCTGTTGAAACTTCTTCTGGAAACATGGCAAGTTACCCTTACCAGAGTCCTCTGGGGAAAAAAAAAAAAATAAGATGTCTTTGACAGTGCAGTAAGGCTTGGTGGAGCAATGTCATGTCATCCATTTGATTTTTCTTGTGGTTGTTGCTTAGAAACATAGCAGTTAAGTAGCCTTACATTTGAGTCCACTGCAATGTTTTGTTCTTCCTTAGCGGTTATGCTGGCTAAACTGTCTGTCTTAAAACAAAACTATGTAATATTACTACTGAGAGATTCAGTGAATGCACTAGGCTCTTTGTTACTGAACATGCTAAAACATGCTTATCAGTTGCAATGCAGTCCTGCTCACACTTAAGTTGTTTGAACTTGTGCCATTACATTGTGTGTTTGTGGTTAGCTGTAGTTAGTAGAACTACAGGTAAGTTGTGCCTGAACAGGAACTGAACAGAAGCAGTTTGGTTTTATGTAAAAGGGACTTGATTTTCCCAGTGTAAATTCTGATGTCAAGTGTCGCGTCTGCCAGTAGTCTCCATGCAGACTCCCTTTGCTTCTGGTTTTTGCCTTTCAGTCCTAAAATGCCTTGAAAAGGTCCCGTTAAGACATGAGTTTGGAGGAAGCACCATTGTTATTAGTATTTTTATGAATAGGTGACTTCAGGACTCCACTATGGCACCCTTCGACAACACTAAATTTACTGAAACTCTTCCAAAGAAATCACAAACCCATCAACATCTTTCGTAAATTAATTTGCTGTTGCAGGAAGGACTCAGGGCAATGTGCATGAGTTTGATATTGCCAAGTTAAATTGTCTTGGCTGCAGCTTTTTGTTCACTGCAGAAAGCATTATATTAATATTCTGATTAGGTACAGATTAGTTTTTTGATGGAATAATTTTGAGTAAGTAGAATATGTCAAGCACTGCAGCAAGATTACTGAGGTTCAAAGCACAGCACTTTGCATTTTGTTAATGTCACGTAATTCTTACTGGCATCTATGCAGTTGAAACAGCATAATGCATTTATGTCAGCATTTGTGTTAGGGAATTTAAAAGAGGCATTTCAGCAAGAAAACATTGGGTTTTTTTAAACGGAACTACACTTTTTGAGCTATGCAGTATTTCTGGCCTGCTGCATAGTAAACCATTTTTCTGATTAATGTGTTGATACTGTGAACATAAAAATCCTGGGAAAATGGTTTGATTATGTGTGTTTTAGAACTGCGATTGAAGTATCACATTTATCTTAACATTAAATTTCATGAGCTATAACTTGCCACAAAACAATTAAATGTTTTATTTTTGCCTTAACAGGATGATGGTGCTTTGTTTTCTGAGCAGAACATTGCAACTAGCAAGACATTCATCCAGTCCACTGGGGAGACTACTCTCTTCTGCCAGCGCAAATAAGCCAGTGTTGACTTTATTCACCAAGGTAAAAGTTGTTTACAGAATAAACCTATGCAAGACTGCTTATTTATCAGCTTTGATACACACGAATGCTACATGAAATGGCTTGGCCATGCTTTTTGTCCCCTTCAAATTTGTGTAGTATTGGGCATTTTACTTAGGGGGTGTCTTTTACACTAGGCTTTACAGCACAGTCCTACTCTGATGGTAGCAAGCAAGTCATTACCCCCAACAAATGAAGATTTCAAGCAGTTGTGTCTCAGTGACACTACAGTCCATTTACTAGTTGAAAATTGTTCTCTAACTGCCAGTGTTTCATCCTGGGAATGGAGAACAAAGATGAGTTGTTATACATAATCTGCCCAAGACAAGCATCAGCAGCCAAAGTAGGCTCTTCAAGGCACTCATGTTTAATTTCAGCACTACCTGTGAGACTGAAAATATATCCAAGTAGCATTGGTAGCACAGGAGGAAAAATATAGATTGTGCTTTACCCTCTTTTTGCTTTGTTGCTGTGTGACGCTAACAGGAATCATAGAATCATAGAATCGTTTAGGTTAGAAAAGACCTTTAAGATCATCCAGTCCAACCATTAACCTACACTACCAAGTCCACAGTAAACCAATCAAGGGTAGACTAGACTAAACCATGTCCTAGAGTGCCACGTCTACCCGTTTTTTGAACGCTTCCAGTGATGGTGACTCCACCACCTCTCTGGGCAGCCTGTTCCAATGCTTGACTACCCTTTCTGTGAAGAAATTTTCCTAATATCCAATCTAAACCTCCCCTGGTGCAGCTTGAGGCCATTTCCTCTCGTCCTATCGCTGACTACTGGGGAGAAGAGACCAACACCCACCTCACTACAGTCTCCTTCTGGGTAGTTGTAGAGAGCAATAAGGTCTCCCCTCAGCCTCCTCTTCTCCAGGCTACACAATCCCTGTTCCCTCAGCCGCTCCTCATAAGACCTGTGCTCCAGACCCTTCACCAGCTTCGTTGCCCTTCTCTGAACACGCTCCAGCACCTCAATGTCTTTCTTGTTCTGAGGGGACCAAAACTGGACACAGTATTCCAGGTGCGGCCTCACCAGTGCCGAGTACAGGGGGACAATCACCTCCCTGCTCGTGTTGGCCACACTATTCCTGATACCAGCCAGGATGCTGTTGGCCTTCTTGGCCACCTGGGCACACTGCTGGCTCATGTTCAGCTGGCTGTCAACCAACACCCCCAGGTCCTTTTCAGCCAGGCAGCTTTCCAGCCACTCTTCCCCAAGCCTGTAGCGTTGCATGGGGTTGTTGCGACCGAAGTGCAGGACCCGGTTTATAAAATGCCACGTGTCTGTGGCATGAGCAGATAGGATTCTTAAGCAGATTTC